GCCCTGTCCCGACCATGCTATAGTTCAGCTATCGCTAGAGGCTTGTAGACGAGTCCTGCATATTTTTTATATCAGTAGATGTTCATGGCGGTTTCACCGGCCTGCACAGTTATATATATCAACTTTTGGGTATGTTTACCCCATAGATGAGAGAGACGTTATTTTCAGACGATTCAGAATATGGCCTCATCGGCCTAAGTTGAGGGTTACCCCTCCAGAGTTCACAGTAAGGAGTGGTACGCTCGGGCCGAGTACGGCACCGTGTGCCAGCCATGCCTCATCGAGTTTGGGGCGTGACAGATTCCGTCGAGGCTGGGGGCGGTGATTGCTATTTAGCCACCTGCTTACCTTTGATGCTCGCTTTCTCCGAGGTCGAAGGCTCTGGTATCGGCACCACTTCCTCGACAGCAAACATCTCCTTTGTAGTCTGTTGCTCTCCGTAGACTGTTTTCACTCCCTCTTCTGTTGGGAACTTTATCATCTGGTGAAGAGTTGAAGGCACTGCCCTCATGTTGTGTATCCATGGTCCCCCGAGGAGTGCATTATACCTCATGTCGCCTTCGATGACATGGAATTTTGTGTCCTGTATGGTCCCGGCTACGTTTACTGGTAGGATTATCTCCCCCTTTGTTGTTTTCCTTGCCATATTGAAGCCATTTAGGATCCGAGACGCAAGTACGATCTGATCTTGTAGGCCGAGTTGTTCCACGACCCTCGATCTGATTATGTTTGCTGAGCTACCTGGATCCACTAGAACACGCTTAACTTGAATTTTATTTAAAAGAATAGAAATTACCAAGGCGTCGTTGTGCGGTTGGGATATGCCTTCTACTTCTTCGTCACAGAAAGATAGGACGTCCTCGGGCACATAGCTCCGAGTCCGTTTTTCTCTGGTGATTGATACCTTGGTGCATTTGAACATAGGTCCTTGTGGGATGTCGACATCGCCAACGATCATGTGGATTACATGGTTTGGTTCTTCCTGCTCATTTTTTTCTTGCATCTCTTTCCCTAAAATGGTTTTTAGCTCGATCATTGAGAAATTCTCGAAGATGACCCTCATTGAACAGTCGAGCTACCTCCTCCCTTAGCTGCCTGCAGTCCTAGGTTCTATGGCCATGTGTGCCATGATACTTAGACATCAAGTTTGGATTCCTCTAAGAAGCATCAGTTTGGATAGGCCTGGGCCACCTAGTATCCTTAATTCTTTCAATGGCTGACACAGTTCCTGATGCGCCTACGCTGAAATTATACTCTAACAATCGAGGTGCCTCCATGGGATTGGTATGTTTATCGAACCCGCTCTTACTCATGAGTCCCCGAGAGCTTTGTCCTCGATCGTTTCTCCGATCATTCCAAGGAGCATTACGACCCGAACCGTTGTTTCTCCGATCGACATACGACTGATACCGTTCTTTGTTTGACCTCGATTCCCTGTCTGTATCCCTCATGGGTCTGGCTGCCGATCTGTTAGGATGAACTGAACCCGAGGGGTCTCCCAACTAGTCGTCCTCGACCCTAATCTTTGATTGATAACGGTTATGCACATCGGACCACATCACGCCTGGATACTCGACCAAATTCTGCTTTAGCTGTCGAGACGTAATCGAACTCCTTTCATTCAAGCCCTACATAAAAGCTTGTACTCCCCAGTCATCCGAGACCGGTGGTAACTCCATTCGTTCCATCTGGAACCTAGACACGAACTCCCCCAACATCTCGTCGTTCCTTTGTTTTATCTTGAAGACGTCGGATTTTCTCGTTGTCACCTTTATGGCTCCGGCGTGTGCTATCACGAAGGCGTCTGCTTACATAGCAAACGAATCAATAGAGTTAGGAGGCAAGTTGTGATACCAAATCATAGCTCCTTTTGATAATGTTTCTCCAATCTTTTTTAACCATATTGATTCGATCTCGTCATCACTAAGGTCGTTTTCCTTAGTCCCACAAGTGTATGAAGTAATATGCTCGTTAGGGTCAGTTGTCCTGTTATACTTGGGTATATCGGGCATGCGAAACTTTTTTGGGATAGGCATCTGAGCCGCGCTCTGAGGGAATGGTTTTTGTATGAACTTTTTTGCATCTAAAACTTTCAAAACTGGAGGTGCCCCCGGTATCTTGTCAACACGGGAGTTATAAGTCTCCACCTTCTTATCATTGTCCTCAATCTTCTTTACCCCGAACATGATCCTCTTGATGACCTCTTCGAGCATCCTCATAATGGCGGGGTCAGTCCCCGAGTCATTTTCGTTCGACCTCTTGGGCGCTGGTTCAGCTCGTCGTGTGTTATCTGGTTCAGCTATACTCGGAGTTTTATTCTGACTTTCAAGTTGAGCGATGGCGATCTGCTGAGCTTGCAACATCTTGAATATCACTTGGAGGCTGACTCCTCCATCTCCTATACTTGGTCTTCCTTGGCCCCCAGATCGGGCTTCTCTGCGTACACTCCCTCCGGGGTCTGCGCCTAGATCTGCATTTAAAGCAATATGCGAACTAACGTCAACTGGTTCCAGATTTGGCACTTTCCCAGGGTTTATTGGTGGTACACCGACCCCTGCATTGTTGTTTTCCCCATGAATCCAAGATCTTCGTTGTCATGAACAGGTATATTTTGCGAGTTTGACATATTTAATCCTGAGAATCAGAAAATCTTGACAAGAAAAAGTGTAAAAATAACGTGTGTAACGAGAATCAGTAAAGAAATAATCACTATTATCTTTAGCCCCACGGTGGGCACTAAACTATTTACCTCGAAAATACGAGTAACAATTAAATTTGATTTGTAGTTTTAAAGATATGTGATTTAGTTCAATACGAATTAATAATCAAGAAATATGAAGTAGAAATGAAAGAGATAAACGAATCAAACCAATGTTACTCAGCAGTAGCGACCTCGAGCTCAGTGACCTCCAGACGAACTAGGAACAATAAAATAAGAACAGTAAAGAGAAAGAGAATTCTGATGAATAGTAAGCGAAAAGTAGAGAGTATGTTCTTTGCCAATGACTAGATGATGTTACAAATGATTGGGGTCCCCTTTATATAATATGGGAACTCTAAATAAGGTACATTTCTATTTACAGTAAGGAATATTATTGGCACAGCTGTCTAACCGCCTAGTACGGAATCGTACAATCCTATTCCGGAATTTGCGTCATGATCTTGGGGACGTGGCAGGAATCTAGCTCATTCTGTTACAAATCCATAAGGGTACAATTTCGGGGTCGAGCATACTTAACTTCGGTATTCCTCGCACTCCTATCTTAGGGCATTGCATTCCGTCCTCGAGCTCGAGTCTAGTCTGTCGACCTCGAACTCGAGCTTACTTGAACTCGGACCTAAGGCGATCCCTCGAGCCTGGGAAATCGGACGTGCCTGATTTCGACCGTATACAATGGGAAATATAGAAGTTTATATAAGCTTTTGGACAATTCGATATAAACATATCCGAGAAGCACCTAGTAATTGTCACCATTCGTATTAATACTAGGCTGGAACGCAACATTTGAGCGGGGAATTCGCATGCTTATGTTTAATAGGCTAATTGTCAAGAAAATGAAAATCAAGACAAATTTAAGAACCTTCCCTAAAGAAAATTTGTACGATATACATACACATGTTTATGTGTGTGTGATTGAGACCAAGTAAGTTCTAAAGTCGTCATCAATCCTCGTAAATATTACTCCATCAAATAATTGCTATCTAAATTATGCAATCTTTTTACTGTTTGGTCTGATCTAATTTATTTCGATTGACATTGTAAATTGAGTTTGAAAAGATTCAAGTAATAAAGTGCCATAGTTGTCATAGTAGTATATAGAAGGGGTACAAGTGGGGAAGTCTTGAACAAAAATTACAATTATTTGGTTAATAAAGAAAATATGAAGGATCGCCAAGAATATGGCGGGATTGATGAGAGTTTTATATTCTTAATTAAAGGTTGTAGATTTGAACTTTACGAATAGAAAAACTCTTATTAAGGAATGCTTCTTCTTTTAATTAATGAGCTTTATGTGGTGCAAATTGAAATTAATTGAATTAGTTAATTTCGGATGAGAAGTTTTATTGTGTGTCTCACACAACTGACATTAGTTGTGTGAGGCTACTTTTTGTCTCACAAAATTTGTGGACCCCAATCTTACACTTCTGGGTCCACAAAAATCTTATTATATTAGTTAGTGTTTTGATGGGAGTATTTGAGAAGAGGTTGCTTTGTCCCTCATTGGAAAAGAAAGAAATGAAGAAGTGTTTAAAAGCACTTCTTTGTCTTACATGATTTGAATATTTTAAAGATGTTTTGGAGGGAAACTAGAATTTGGCTATATTATTAATAGTCAAGATTGGGCACTTGGGCACTTTGGGGCACTTGGGCCTTGGGCCAATTAAGTAGCCCGAATTAATATTTTAGTCACCCATTATTTGATTAATTAAAAACGTTTTTAACAAATTTTTTTAAATTCAAAAGAAGGTGACTATTAGTTTTAAAAGGTGCCTGTTATGAAGAGATGAATCTGTTAATTCCAACAGACTCCTAGAGGTATTATAAATACCTATATCATCTTCAAAACGAAATCATCTGAAACTTTCATCTCTTTCTCTTCTACTTATTTTCTACAACTCACAACTATTCTGTTCTTGTGGGAAATTCGAGTTAATTGCTGAAACTCGGATTTGAGAGGCTTTGTAGAATCCTGGAGGAATTTTGCCATAATCCCTGCAGCAACGAAATTAGGAGGCTTAAATTCCTTAAGGACAGTGACTATACTATCAAGGCCTAATTATTTCGTCTTCATATTCTGTTATTTTTTTTAACAAATTTGGATCCATAAAACTGTGAGACAAAAAAATAACTCAAACAACTAATGTCAGTTGTATGAAACACAAAATAAAATTTTACGAGGAAAAGAGAGTAGGAGTGTAGGACCATAAAAGAAGCTGCCCAGCTGCCCAAAGCTGACCTGCCACTACTTCCATTGCCTAAAAATAAAGAGAGTATAAAGCCGTTAAGGAGAGAAATCCATTTGGTTTTCACAGTGCAATTAAAAACGATGATGATTGAGTCACTTGTTTCTCCTTCTATTTCTACTGTTATGCTCTGTTTTTCTCTCTCTCCATCATTTCTCACCAATTCCAATCCCAATTCTTCAAAATCAAATCCAAATTCCTTTCTTTTACTGTTCCACTTCTTAGGATCCGCCATGAATGCTTATTAGCCTCAGTTATTTTCCTTACTTTTTCGCTCTCTCCTTTTTTAACTTGTCGTGCTCTTCTTTGTATGATGATGACCCAGCTTCTTCACCTTTTTACCCCACCCACCCCCTCTTCTTCTCCTTCTTACTCTGCTCTCTTGTACAGCTGATCCACCCTCCCCCTCTTAAAAACCCCACCTTGACCCTCCTTCTACCTTTTGACCTACTAATCTCTCTCTTTTTTAGTTCTAGGGTTTCCTTTTTCTTCTTGATCCTTTGTTTTCTCTTCCTCTCCTCCTCCTCCTCCTCTTTAGCTCTCGCTTCAAACCACCCTTCTCTTCTTTTTGTATATTCCTGTAGATTTTCTCTATCTTTTCTGCCAATTTTTAGGGGGTTATTTTCTGTTTATAATGAGGTGGGGTTTTTACTTGATCAACTTTTGTATAACGTGAATAGCTTCTTGTTTCTGGTCTAAAAGTAATTTTCCCTTAGTTCTTCTTCTCTTCGTTTTTCCAATCAAATTTGGGTTTATGGCTTATCAACAACAGCAGGGAGCAGTTGGGGGTTCAGGTTCTGCTCCATTTTATAATTCTCCATTTGGGGACACTACTTTTACTAAGGTCTTTGTTGGAGGCCTTGCTTGGGAAACTCAGAGTGAAACCCTCAGGCGATACTTTGAGCAGTTTGGTGATATCCTTGAGGCTGTTGTCATCACTGATAAAAATACTGCCCGATCCAAAGGCTATGGCTTTGTCAGTCTCCTTTTGTTTGCTTTACTTTTCTCCTTCAATGTTTTATATTTGTTTACTGAATTTGAAAAAGATTACAACTTTTTTACTATCTTTTGTTTTCTCTTTCTTTTTACGCATAAAAAAATGGTCCATTTTGCTAAATCATTTTAATTGCCTGCTATAACTGAATGACATAATTTCTGCAATGGTATTTCTATGGAGGGTTTAGGTGACTTTCCTGGACCCAGAGTCCGCGAGGAGAGCTTGTGCTGATCCTGCTCCAATTATCGATGGGAGGCGAGCAAATTGTAATTTGGCTTCGTTAGGGCGACCTCGGCCTACTGTGCCATTTGGTATTGTAGCTTATTTTGGTTGAATGCTCTGCTCTATTCTATAATATCATAGTTGTTCCATCGAGTTTTTTTTTGCACATCTGGGCACTCTGATGAGCTCACTAATAATGTCAAGTGTTGTTGGATGACTTGTTCTTCCATCGCTTTCAATTGTATTTAGCTTGTAGACTGTTTTTCTATTTGCTTATATTTCTTCTTGTTAAAATTGCATGCACTCCCAGCTTATATAAGAAAATGTATGATCCATATTCAGCTATCATATGGTGGAGATATTGTTTGAGATGAAGAAATGGAAAATTGAGGGAGAAATTGTCACACAAGTAAAAAGAATTTGAGAAGATAAGCCTTAGGATTGATACTCAGTGGTGGAATAAAGATAGTAGGAGGAGTGATAAGAAGCTAGGGTCTGGAAAATAGAGATGAAGTTTTGTATTTTGATAATCTTTCATTGAACTGAAATGATCGGCTTGACTAGACGATTGAGCATGATGAAGTGCATGTGATTAATAACCGTGCTTCAGAACACTCTTTAGTCTTTTCTCCTGTACTAACAAGAAAATATCCCTCATGACAAAGCGATGCAATGAACATAGGCCATTGAACAACTCCCTTGTTTGCTGAAATGAAATGCCTGATTTTTGTAACATAACAGGTGCAATACGTTTAGAAAAATTCTTTAATTCTTTGCAAATTCCCTATAACTATCTACCTCCTCGGTGACCACGAGATTTGCTCTTCGAATCCTCCAATATTGATTGGTAAAAAAGATACACCGCTAGCAAGCTTAGTCAATTACTTATCTGACCTTTCGCATAGTCGATGTGGAGAGCTGTTTCCTTGGCTTCTCTCTAACACATTGATAATCTTCGAAATTAGGGGAGCTGCAAAGTTCCCTTAATGGCATTTTATATGAGTAATTGTGAAGCTGCCTGAAACTTGTTACAAAAACATCAATAAGGATCATCTCTTTTAAAAGGATCCCGTGAAAGATGATTTTCACGGCAGGTTATGTGTTTGACAGAGATCTAATACCACAACCTGATCAGCTTCAAACAAATAATAGTTAACCATTATTATCTTTTATGGCACATCCTACCCTGAAAAGTGGAAGAAACCAAAAAGAAAAAAACGCTCATTCTTTCAAGTGCATTAGCTTATTTCCACTTTATTGGGTACAGGACGTCTGAGGTCATCAACTCCATTTCCATCAGGTCTACCAGCTGCTCGGGGTGCTTATGTTGGAAGCTTTGGCTACCAGCAACCGGTTTCTTATGGCTACCAGCAAGGCTTGATGTATTCTCCCTATGGGTAAGCTGTGTGTCGAAGGCATGCCTACAGGTCTCCACAATCCACATATAAATTTGGAAGAAAATGACTAATTGGACTATGCAAGATTCATTTGTACTATACCCTTCTACTGGAATGTAGACCTTTCCTGAATCATTTGAATTTTAAATGTCATAATCACATAATTTCTTTCATGTTGTAGTCGGATTACAGATTCCATACTAATGGTCATGGCTATGATTCATAAGTTAGTCAGAATTTTGGCTGCAGCCAACTTGTGACAATTTTCTCAAATCTTAATCTGGTGAACTGTGTGATATATAAGAATTAGTGTGCCTGAGAATAATAAGATAGTTATTAATTAAATTATTACATATAAATAATTTTGGAGTATAGAATCTTAAATTATATTAGCTCGTTATTCTTGCTTGTAAACTACAAGCTAGTGCATCGTTTACCTTCATATTGCATGTTTTCAGCTGCACATTAGCCTGCCTGTGGCCATTAAAAATTGTGTTCAAATGTGACTGCTTTTGTAAGGCAACAATATCATAAATCATTAGCACAAAGAGAGATTGCGTTGTTTTTTGAATTTCACGAGTTTTTTATGTGCATGCAGAACAAATGGTTTCACTCGTTTTACTGAGAAAGAGCACTAGATTTCACCCTTTTTTCTTAGAAGAACCTTTTACTTATTCATAATTTAAAAAAAAAATTAGTTCATTCACTTGATGGACCTTAGACCTTTATCTTGATTAGTCATTTGTTAGTACATTTCATCACATGGAGTTTGGACTCATTTATATTTGTGAATTACATTTAAAATCGCAGCTCTTAGAAAGATTGTTAGCTCTATATTATTTTTTAATGCAGGTATGCAACATATGGTGCGGATTACGTTTACCCTCAGGTTAGTAGCACTGCATAAATGGAGACATTACAGTTTATCCCTTTCTTTCTTCTGCAGTAAAAAGGTTCAAGTGCAATTTTGTCTTGACAGTGTGACTCAATTTTGATGCGTACTGTAATTTTATCCGATAGGGTGTTTACAATCCTTATGGAGGTCAACAGTACCTTCCTATATATGGTGTACCTGGAAGTGTTAACACAACAATGTATCCTTACGGCCAGCTAAGTCAGGCTGTTCCTGGAAGTCACAGTTATACAACATTGCAGGGTTATGCAGTGCCAGGTCATCAGATTCTTCAGTTTGGCGGGCCTAGTGTCAATGCAATGACAGCTTCATCCATTCCAACTATTCAAGCACCATACCCAGCAGGCACATCTCTTTTATTTGTGTCTTATATTTATGCATGCATTGTATCCTTGCATATCTTTGATGTTAATCTGTATTCCAGATGTATCAACATCTAGGAAACATGCTTTAACCTCATCTATTTCTGTAGCTTGGTCTAAAGTTGGCAGTATCATAAAGCAACCATTTTTTGTTTTTAGGTGTCGGAGCGCCTGTTACTCCACAGCCACAGTTTATACTACCTACTCATTCTCCTCAATTTATGCAAGGTAGCGGTTCTGACCACAATGCAGGGTGATATTTTATCAAGGTAAAAGGTGATTCAGACCCAACAGAGTGTTAATATATTTAGTTACCTTATTAGTATAGGGATTGATTATCTACCATATTATGCATAGCTTAAGATTCCTATAAGGAGCACCTCTTGTACATTGTTAATCAAATTACTGAGAAGTCTTTTTGTATTTTCACACGCGGTATGTATTTGCTTCTTGCAAGTTGCAACCAAAATTTTCCTGCTGATGTTTGTGTTCTACTTTTGACCTTTAGGTATCCTAGATTGCAGCAGGACTAAAAGAAGCAGTACTGCAGTACTGCTACTTGAGAGGCGGGCTTTCAATCTAACCTTGCAAATGTTCACTACTTCACTTTGCATTCTAGAGGTACTAGATTTTGCTTTTGGCTTAACTTTTTTGTTTCCTTTAAATTCTTCCTCTCTCTCTCTCTCACACACACGCACACACACACGAGAGAGAGAGAGAGAGAGAGATTGCTGCTGCAATCTAGGCAGCAGGACTAAAAGAAGCAGTACTGCTACTTGAGAGGCGGGCTTTCAATCTAACCTTGCAAATGTTCACTACTTCACTTTGCATTCTAGAGGTACTAGATTTTGCTTTTGGCTTAACTTTTTTGTTTCCTTTAAATTCTTCCTCTCTCTCTCTCTCANATGATTTTAATATACGGTCAGTTGCATTTACCAATAACAGAAAGCAGGCCAATTAGAATGAGACAGAGGAGGTAGTGTGTTTCCCACAGCTTGAAGTAGTTCGGGCTTGGGGTTTCTCCTCTATGCAAATGACCGTATATTAAAATCATTATATGGTTTCACTTATCCCTAAAAAAGAAAGATAACATATTATAGGGCTTCTTTTTTTTTTGGGGGGGAAACTTCTGTCGTATTAAAAAAATACTAGATTTGGGCTGAAATGTACCTATTGTGTGTACAAGAACTCCCAAGGATGTTGGTTTTCAATTTTCAGTAAATGCTTGATGATGATGTTTTTCCAAAAATTATTTGCAACCTCCTCTGCCTGGCCGGTATAATTACACATCAGTTGGAGCTGACATATTTTTATTACCTCATTTTCATCGTTGTCTTCCTCCTCTTGCTACGCGTATTATATTGGGTTCTTGAAGTGGTTGATAGTAGGAAAATGTCATATTGCTTTTAACTCTCTTTGTTACGTATGAAGATGTAAAGTCTATCATGATAGTTCAATATACTTCTTTTTTTCTTCGTTTGGTGCAGTTTAAATTTGCATCAAATATTTGGTTATGTTTATAGGTCCTTTCTTTGGCAGGCAGTCATGTTTCAGTGCCATTTGCATGCTATCAATATGAATTGAAACTGCTGATGGAAACTAACAAACTCTGAAAATTAATCTACTAATTCTATATGCAGCCAAAAAAAAAAAAAGAAAATAAAAGAAAGCTGTGTATGTAAATACTGGAAGTTGTTTGGTCTGCAGTAAGTTTATCTTTCTCCTAGGTAACTCATGTCCAAAATGTCCAAAACTGTTTGCTTGTTCAACTCAACTGTCTTTAGTCTTAATGCTATTTGCCTTGATGCAGGTTATAAAAAAGTCAAAGTCAATACTCACCATGAGAGCTCAATGTCTGAGTCGCTCCTGATGATTGAGTGAGGAAACATGGAAGTTGCGGATTGCACTTCCTTCAACATCATCATCTTATTGTACTTGCATTCTGCCGGTGTTGGGATAACTGGCAGAGAGTCAGTCGACGTCATGCATTTGAGGGATGCTGGAATAGGTTTCTGGCTCCCTCCCTGTAGCAATAAATAAACACTGTAAAAATTCACATCAGAATCAACATATGATTCTTTCATAGTCAAAACTCCCCAGCATGTTTGGGTGTGTAGATAGTCTTGAGTGTTGGTGCATCATGCGCACTGTGTTTAATAGTATTCTCAAAGTCTTGTGCATAAAACAATCTCGAGTCTTTTAATTGACATTCATTCTGTAATTTGGATTATTTATTGAGAGCTCAGCTCTGAAGTAAGTAGCTTCAGGATCTCAAGGCCACGGGAAATATGTTCTTGCACTGTTTTTTCTGTTTTTTGTGTGTGTGTGCGTTATCACCATTGATGGTGACATGACCCGCTGACCATCGCTACGCATCCCATAATTTGGAGCATTTTGGGTGCAAAGCAAGTTCGGCAAAAGAAGGCGACGGGGCACAGCAGACTTTGCAACTGAAGTTTATATTATATGGATCAAAATCTGAAGAGAAAAGTTGTCCTCTTGCTGTTTTTTTCTGGGATTCAAACAAAAGTAATTGAATTTCGTTGAAGTTTTGGTCCTAATCATTCAATATGTGCAAGTACTTTTGTTCGTAAATAACAAATGAATAGTTAGTTAGACATAATATTACGTGGCTTTTTATTCCGGGGATGGGGAAGTCTGTGTCATTGTCCAAGATAGACACACAAGATGGTAACAAATGAGTACCCCTTTACTATTAAACATTTCTTTTTAAACGCTCAAATATTAGTTCTAGTGTTATAAATAGAAATGTATTTATGGTGAATCTCTATATTTAGAGAGATTCTAGGGTTTATTACTTGGTGGCTAAGTCACTCTCTTCCTATAAATAGAGGGTTCTATTTCATTGTAATTCATCCCACAATTCAATAAGAATTTTCTCTCTCTTTCTTTGCAATATTGTTCTTGTTCTTTTATTGTTTTATAACACGTTATCAGCACGAGACTCTAATCAATTGAGTAGAAGCTTTGGGATTGAGCATAATGATTGTCAATTATTCCATGAACTTCCTTCATGATTAAATTCTGAATTTAAGGTAAGCATTTTATCGTATTTTTCTCTTTTATTCTATACATTGATTTTAAATACAAGCAAAGACAACAAAGTTTGATTATAACTCTGATGGAGTTTGTAAGAAATTATAACCACCTGAAGTGGTAAAATTTCTATGTCTTGCCATGATCAAATTTATGTATGATTATGGGCACAAGAAGTGCATATATACCCGTCCCATTGAATTTGCTTCATTCTCATTCCCTTAAGAGAATGTGATAGCAGTATGTGATAAGTCTGAAAGAAGACAAAATTATTACTATGAATGTATCAATGGATGTGGACGTGGCAATAGACGAAATTATAATCGTCATCATTGTGATAATGAGAATAATAAGGATTCTCAAAATAATCCTTCACTCTGTGAGTAATGTTTGTCATCGATTTAACATGAGATTTTATAAGCACATACAGATGACTATGGTCAATTCATGATGTGAATGTGACAACATCTGATTTATGAATACATATTCATTCTTGGAAGAATATGAACGTGCTAGTGGTAGTGAATATACCACGCACTCACCTCTAGAAGGAGGTTTGAGATGATACAAGAAAATAATGTCATTAGTATGGCATGAATGGTCATTGGTCACGTACCTATTGCACGCCAAAATATTTTGGTAATGTGGTTATTAAAGAATAACATTAATGCAATAAACATATCTTGCATATAATTTTGACCATAACCATAATAGTATAACTTTCTCTTTAAAAGAGATATTCACCATATTGATGTTGATGAATATGTGGTAGTACCAAATTAATTGAGAGCTCTGGAAGAGCCAATTATTACTATTTTGGAGAAATAAAATTATAGCAGTAAGTCTTAAAGAAACTTATTTAGTTTCTAAAGTATACGCGAAAGCGGCTGATTATATTGAGACTATAAATAAAGGAAAGATTTAATATCTTCCATTACTACAACTTGTAGCGGGGTAATATATATGTGAAAAGCTACCCGCTTTATTCTCCAATTTGTACTACACAAACAAAAGAATGCCACAATAAAGAGAAGTTTATTGATATAAAAACCCATATCATAATAAACTTGAAGTTTATTGGTAATTGCACACGTCATTGTGTAAATCTGAAGTTTATCAATATTGATAATTTATTCAGTTGGCATAATTGGTTTACTCATATCAATTTAAGTATGATATGCAAAAACAAAAGAGAATTCACATGGGTAAATATTAAAGAACTTGAAAGTTCTTTACGAATTCTCTTATGTTGCTTGTTCTCATTAATTAATATACCAACTAAAATTGGGATTGAATCCCATGAATGCTGGAAATATCAAAGGTGAATATGGGTCCATTCACCTGTCACATACACCACATAAGATGCATCTCTGAGATGGTTACATGTGCGATTATTGATAACCCGTAACATGGTGTTTTGCGAGGTAACTTGCTCAATAATTTGATTTAGAACATAATTTTCAGATTTTTTATTCAAGATAGTTCATCTTGATAAGTTGGTTTACATCACAGTTGGTTTATATCACAGTTGGTTTAGCAAAATAATTTATTAAGTGTCTCTACTTAATAGCTAAACAATTGCTTATGAGAACAAAGTTATCTATATCAGTTTGATATACGTTATATACCAAAGTATATTATTTTCTCCCCTCACAAGTGGGTCAAGGTCAGGAACCAAATAATCCTATCTCATTATTATTGATGTGCGGTGTATATTTTGATTAACACCATAACGCACAAAGGTGGATTCTCAAAGTTGAGGTAACAAGTTAGTTTTTCTAACATTAGGGGGAGACATGATAAACAGTTGAGAAAAAGTTACGTGGAATGAATTATCATTTGTACATCTAGATCCTCGAATAAGATAATATGAACTTGAAGTTCATAAAAGGATAATTCATTTGCAATATATTGCAAAGCATGCCAAACGCATTTGCTGACCCAAAGAAAGTAACTATATTCTCAATGCATATGCTCCTATTAAGTCCTAGAAGGACAAAGTCTGTGGTACGCTTAAAGCATATAGACAAATCGGTTTCAAATAAAATTCTTGATAAAGAAGATGAGCAAATGATCAAAATGATCATAATAAAGGAGGCAAGTGATCTAGAAGATCACATGACATAACACTTCATAAAATCTCAAGAGAGATTCAGGTACCTGAAAATAGGAATGAAGAGATCTCTATGTTATGTCTATGAAAAAATATTAAAACCGATATTAAATGTTTGTCGACGACATCTATAATAGCGTTAAATATATATGAGGATCTTAAGTCTGGAAAACAATTTCGAATAGAATTGGTTTCATAAGAAAGACATGTAGTTTTGAACATGTAGTTCAAATACTTGAAAAGTATAAAGTCAATGATATGTGCAATCAGTTTTCGATATCTTATTTGTCTAGCATGACATGAAAACTTGATATGCATCTAATTAAATTCTATTATATGACTTATATGACTTAACTTATATGACAATCCTTGAAGGATTTAAATCGCTTAAAGCATATAAAATTCTTGGTCCTGAAGTATCATATTCTAAATGCAATTTGTGCACATATGTATCTTGCTATAACTATAAGCATGATAATGTGATAGCGAAAATACCTCTATGGAGATATTGAAAAGTCATTCCACGATATTATATGAAGACATTGCATCTCTATCAAGAATGATGATTTCAATGTGCAATATATTCATTCAAGTTAATATGGCTGATTTGTTTATCAAATATCTACCAAAGATCTTTTGAAGATGGTGCACAAGATTGGAATGCAAATGCTTAAGGATGTGAATTGATGCTCTCATCAGGGGGAGTTAATACACGTTGTACTCTTTTTCCCTTACAAGGTTTTGTGCCACTGGGTTTTCCTTGTAAGGTTTTTAACGAGGCAACGAAAAGGCGTATTATTAGATATGTGTACTCTTTTTTCTTTTCTAGAATTTTTTTCCCACTGGGTTTTATTTTAGTTAAGGATTTAACGAGGCACATTATCTGTTGAATAGACATTAAGGGGGAGTGTTATAAATAGAATTGTATTTATGGTGAATGTCTATATTTAGAGAGATTCTAGGGTTTATTACTTGGTGGCTAAGTCACTCTCTCCCTATAAATAGAGGGTTCTATTCCATTGTAATTCATCCCACAATTCAATAAGAATTTCATCTCTCTCTCTTTCTCTGCAATATTGTTCTTGTTCTTTTATTGTTTTATAACATCTAGCAATTTGTTACCATACTGTTTTTCCTCAAATCTATCGTTATTGTTTCATTTTAGACAAATGCTCTTATATTTAGGATATGTTAACTGTATTTCATGAGTGTGTAAAATCTTAAGTACTCTGCACAAAGAAGTAATGCTCCCTTTACCCTAAATTATTTTATAATAAAAAAAATTGTCCATTCAAATTGGAAAGTAGTTTCAAGTTGGAGTTTTTAAATTATTTTAAAATAACACTAAAATTACAAAAAAAAATTGCCAATTTAAATTTCTTTGTCTTTTAACAATTTTTGTTTTTCTTTTTAAAAATAAAAAGTTTATTTATTCAGAAAATATTAATGAGAATAATAGAATAAAATAAAAAAATAAAATTTTTTATCTTCTATTATATTATAAAAGAAGGTAGCATACACAAATTTAAATAACGTAATATGCTAATAAAAGTTTCTATTAACAATGCAATAATACTAAATATTGGATAATATAATAAAGAAAAATACATAACAAAAAAGTTATTCGATGCCTATATAAGTCTCATTAACTTAGTAGAGATTTTATTCATTAAATTTCAGATAATATTATTGAGAATAAAAGGATAAATTTTAAAATAAAAAAAATATTTCAATAGTAATAAAATGTGTTGGTGAAAATACAATTACAACTGAAAATAAAAATAAAAAGAAAATAAAATATCTTCAGGCTGAGGCGCGGATATCTCGCTCTCTTTAGGAGATTCGAGCCTACTGCAACAGAGTCTTCACTGGTCCAGCAGTAATCCTCTTGACTTGTCTTCCCGAGGATACAATAACCCGATCACGTCGTATGAATCGAACAAACTCTGGACAAGTTGTTGAGTCCAAAGCTCCACCAAGATGAACACCTTCCTTCAACAAAAGTAAAAACCCTCTCTTCTTTTTTTCACAACTTTAACCTCACTTCATTGGAACACTCTCAACTATTTTTCACACCACATTATGGAAGAAAGACTCCTATTTATAGGTGTAGGAA